ACAAAGCTCTGCACAATTCTAGTCGCGGTAAACTTTTTTCTGAAGAAGTGCCAAGCGTGACTTAAAACATAGTCAGCGAACTATAGTACGCCCTGATTCATCGGTCGCACGCAGATATACGTAGGCACTATATGCTTTCTCGGAGGCATTACAAAAGCCATGGACTTTAACCTGTGTTGCCCTTGTTGATACTTATTGCAGAATTGGTAACTAGAAATTTCAATTATAATTTAAAAGATAATTTCATTTATAAATTAAAATTGGATATCCTCTATACGTATGCTTGAAGTGTTACCAGGTTCAAGTCAATAAATGAAAAATTTTCGGTGCTTATATTTTTTTATTTTAATTCCTATTTTTTATCTTAATTCCTATAGCGCTGCAATATTTGCTTAAGTCGCAGGACGTAATACGAAATGGTAAAGAGATTCTCAAAATATGGGATACGAAAAAGCATGAATACCTGACTGATCCTTATTAAATAAAATGGCGTGATGTAAAAACACATGTCACATGTATTCTGTATCATGTCTGCGGCAAAATCTCCGAAACACAGGATACGAAAAACCATTACATATTAGATCTATTCTGTAGTTGGTCGATGATGTAATGTTTAGTCAGGTGCAAAGTCTCATGTACATACCATGTTTGTGATTAATGTTTGCAAATTTGTTCTATTCTAACGCAAAGTATGTGACACAAAAATGCATTGAATAACAATATCTGTTGCCTATGTACAAGATACAAAATGCAAATACTAGATTTTTGGTAACAAAAATATATATCTTTCTATAGATATACAACAAAACAACTTTTTTTAAAATAAATTTTTTAGTTCTTTGTATCTTATTAGTTCACGTATCACTTCCTATTTACGAGCTGAAAAAAACCGGGAAGATAATATTGTTTTTTTTTATTTTTTTATTATTTATTATTATTATTTTTTTATTATATTTTTTTATTTTAAGTATTTTATTTTTTTATTTTATTATATTTTTTATTTTAAATTGGAATTGAATTTTTTGTCTCTTCCAGCGCGGAAAATCATCATAATCTTGTAGTAATCAAAGGTCCTAGTTTTCCGCCTTAGAGCAATTAAGATAAGTTAAAATAGGTCAAGTATTCTTATTAGTTACATATTAAGTAACGGTTTTCATATTAATTTGTTGATAAGTCTAATTTACAATATAAAAAACGCGCAGAGAATCGAGAAGAAGCTATTATTGTAAAGGATTAATTAGAGCAGAAGAAGCATAATGAACAATATGAGCACAAAAAGTTCTCTATTTTCTTTACGGCATCATAGATTCCAAGCAACATCTATACATAGATACTATATAGAAATAGATTGTTATTTAATTAATTGTTATTTAGTTAATGATTGTTATTTAATTTGTTGTTATTAACAATAAATATATAAAATTCATCCTGTACAGTGATGAAACTCCACATAATAATTTTTAATAACTAATTATTTGCAAACAAATTCCAAAACTATGACGTATATGAATGCCTGGGAATTCTAGAATTTAAGCACTTGTAGAATTTAAAAATGTCTAAATATATTCTAAAAATCAAGTAATTAGTGAATGTTCAATAGATTAGACAAAAAAATATGCATGCCACAAAATTGCAAATCTACGGATAGAGACATTATGAAAAACTTTATTTCGCGTTTTATATACCGATATACTCTTTGTGATTTGTTGACGAATATATGAATTATGATCAACTCAATCATCGAAAGTGAGGTACGAAAAGGTTCTTATTTGATTTTCATAAGAAAATCTATCGTATTGCATAACTGATTGTTAGAACTGCTGGCAGTAATAAACTTTAGTTTGATTTATGTCACAAATATGAATTATTATTGTTTTGTAAAATAGTTTTGTTCGTTGTTTAATTATATCAAGAATATAGAAAGATATTTCAAACGAGGAGATATCTCAATTATTTTTCATTGAAATCAATTTTTTATTTTTTTACTACTTCAAGTGCGAATCAAAGTAATAAAACAAAGAGTAAACAAAATTCCAATTTTTATAGTAAAATATTTTACATTGCCGAATAAAAATAGTAAACATACATATTAATGTATCTTCAAAAGCACGATAATTTTTTAAAGCATGATAGTGCTGTTTCACTACAAAAAGTCTGATTTATCAACAATTATATTTATTTCATTATTGAACAAAACTTCGCCACGATATCGGATTCCACGAAACGCCACGACTTCCGCAAATGAAAAAATGGAAATTTTCAATTGAAAAAATTCATAAAAAAAGAAACATTCGTGAAAGTTCGCTAAAGTCAATTATTTTTACATCTTCCAGGATACATAAAAAAATATTTTTAAATCTTCAAATGTATATCTCAACAAATTCATAAGTTTAATAACTTTCCTCTTAGCTTCCAGTTGATGAATAATTCGTATTTTATTTTATAAATAATAAACGATAAGTATCTACATTATTTTTTCGAGCTCTCCTGAGTTTTTCTTTTAATAATAAAATAAAATTCTCTAAAAAAAGAATTATAAAAAGAAGAATATTATAATGCTTTTTCTAGATTTCTAAAAATATTTTATAATTACAAATTTAGTAAATTCAATGCTTAGAAGAAATGCAGCTATTGTAAAATCAAAAGGAAATCCTATGAAGTATTAATTAAGACAATTATATAAATTTTCACAGCAAATTTAATTTAAATTATTTTTTTCTCATTAAAACTTATTATTGATTTGTCATATTGTAATTGTACAAATATTTTTCGCTTGTACAAACACATTTCTGGCAATTTGTCAATTTTTTTTTGTCAATTTTGCAAATTATGCAAACGAGTTTTTATGATATGCTCTACAGAATAATCAAATATGTATATACAGATTATGTACAGAATAAAAATATATACAGATTCATATTTTTATATAAGTTATTTAATAAACAATAATTATATAAAGGATTATTTGAAATCATTGGTATACGAATACTATCTACACCTACTGTATGTTTCAACGTTAGTATCACACGACAGATTGACAAGAATCGGTAATATGGAAGCAAACTCAAACTTAATGCAGGTTTTATGGAACTCAGAAGTTAATGCATGCATCGCAGCATGTTTCAACATATATAAGGAGCTTAAGCCGCGGCGTGGCGGTTGGATAAAATTACTGTCTATAATTCAAACCTAATTTTTATGTTTTATTAATACAGTTGTTCGTTACAATAAATAATAAGTAATAGTAATAGTAGTAATGGCATAATAAATTTAAAAAATTCTAATACAATTTATAAAGAGCAGTAGCTTGTCGATAAATTATATTATTTCACTTTTATTTTATTCTTTTCAAGATCATTGCGGTTTGATTAACGCTTTTTTTAAAATTTTTCCGCTATTTATACGTTGTTTCAAAATTGAAAGTGAAGTGGTCTTTAAACAAGTTCACCATAACAAATAATAAATTTTTATTTTGTAGATTTTTAACCAATTATCAATAACTATCAATAATTATCATATTAAAAGATTTCATCATATTTCTTAGTTGATGCTTATGTAATAAATATATTAATTTTGTATGCATTTCATTTAAAAATTACTGATTCATACAGAAAATTAAAATGATCATGAGACTATATCATTCGTAAATACAAAATAAGTTAACGCATAACGTCCAGTAATTTTGTTATAAAGCGATATCTCAGTTAATATTAATAATAATATTAATAATAAGAAAAAATAATTAAGGAATGAATTATTTAATTCGATGGAAAGGATATTATAATGAGAATTATTTTTTCTGAAAATCGAAGTATAGATTTTTTTTTAGATGAATTTCGATTCTTTCATAACAAATAACCAAACCATCGTTGTATCAATCAGTCACAATAGAAATGAATACAAATGATACGTTCAAAATATTTCAATCGAATCATCTTGAAGTTAAATAATTTGAACAGTGTCATTATTCATTGAAAGAGTTTTCTCACGTTCTAAAAAATAATAAAAAATCGCCAAAAATAAAAAAAAAAATAAAAAAATCTCTATTTCAAAAAATGTGACTTTGAGAAAACGTGATTCCCATTGTAATATATGTATAATATATGTATGTAAACAATTCATTTCTTAACTATGTTCTTCATTAATATTAACTTACATAACGCTTTGTAACGAAGTAGAATAAAATTTAGTATATATATGTACTCACATATGTACCTATTTGTGTATATAACTTATTTCAGCATTAATTTTTAAATAAATTTTACATAAATTAATGCATTTTATAAATTGTTGATTTATTAAATAAATGCATATTTTACATAACAAATAACGCATATTTAATAAATGCAAATAAATTCGTATTTAATACATTGCAAATAAATGCATAATTAATAAATTATTAATAAGTTATTAATTTCAAGCAATAAAATAATATTTCCTTTCAGTTTCCAAAAAATCTAAGAATATGATATTTTATATTTAATAGATTCTGTATCATACTACAGATAAAGAAGAATTATAATACGAACGATATCCTGTTTTATACTTTATTTCTAATTTTATAGAAAAGTTTATTTTTAATTCAATCCATTACTGTACTAAATTTCAGTTTTCAAAAAGTATAAGAATATAATGTTTTATATTTGACAGATTCGGTATCATACTGCGGATAAAGAAGAATTGCAATACAGAATTCTATACTTCGTTTGCGATTTACGATACCGTGTTCTATACTTTATTGATAATTTTATAGAAAAATTTATTTTTAATGCAAACCATTACTATAAATTACTATAAATTGACAAAAGGTAAAATTGGTAAATGGATCAGAAGAGCCCCAAAAAGGAATACATTGAACGTCAGGTTTATTTTATACCGTGTCTGTGCCAATACTAGGAACATGAAAGAATAAGACGAAGCCAAGTGAAGTAAAGGCAAAGAGAATGGAGAATGGTTGTGGTGAGAGGCCGTGGTGGTAAGTACAGTGGAGGGGCAATGGCTTACCTACCTGCCGGTTGAGAGCTCAGTCGGTGTCCGCCAGGTTGAAAATCCGTGTCTTCTCCTCATTTTTCTACGTAACTTTTTACACTTCTGCTAAAACCGGCAGGAAGAAGATCGGAGATAAAGATATGAAATATAACGAAACATATACTGTTGATAAATAATTTTTATTCAGTGTTAGTTGAAACGTTCACCGATGAAATTGATAACGAACAAGTTTTTTTTAACTTGCAGAGAAAATTTGCAGGAAAAACGTTAAACTACCTTCTTGTCTGTACAGTTACGATTATTAGTGTATGAGAGTGTGTGCTTTGATAGATGGGCGATCCCACGCTTGTCATAAACAACGTGTTTGTGTTTACATATGGTGACCTGTGTTGACTGTGTAATAACCAACAACCAAGCATTGTGATTTTGGATTGCAGTAAATTCCTCGACGGCTGATTATTGTTATCGACATCATCGTAGGCATGTTTGAGTTCGACAGCAGTAGATAGTAACATTAGCTGACATACTGGCGTATAATATATAACGCACGCATGAGCATACGCTAGTATATAACAATATGGTAAGTACTTAATACACAACAATGTATGTAATATATCCTTCTCGTTATGGCAAATGTACGATAAAAGAATTTCATAATAATATCCAATTTCGTTTGTTTAACTGATTGTAAGAATCAGAGAGAACGATAGCACTCTGCATTTGAAATGTTTCTCTGTTTCTTCAAGAGGAAGAATAAGGGAAAGAAAACAGTAAATGGAGTGAAATACGAAAAAATTAATATTTTCCAATAAAATTATTTATTACTTTAAATTAAATAGAAAATAGATAGAAAATAAATTGTATCTTCATAATCAATGCTGTATCAAACGTTTGACCGCCATTGAAATAAGATCTAAAGTAATCTCTAGAGTAAAGAAGACAACTAAATATTTCTATTACTACATAAATATTCATCACTTTTCGTACTTTTTATATCTTGAGTCGTTGTACGTTCTTTATCATTCGAGATTTGATGAAACTCTCGTTACAGTTGTCTTTTGGCATACGTCGTGCAATTCTAGCGATATAAGAATGCTTAGCATGCAACATGTATATTTTGTTAATTGTTGAATTGTATCGAAAGCGGCAGGTGAGAAAGTTTGATGAAAAAGCAAGCACACTTGTAGAATCCTTACACAAGCCAATAACATTTTTATTACTTGACGAATGAAAATAATAAGGCAGCAGCAACAATCGTTCGTAATACCTGTAATTGTCATTCTATAAAAAATGACACTATCTTTCTAAAATTTATTATTTTTACTTTTTTAAAATCATTATTCTTGTTTTTATGAACGATGTAACAACGTATCCAACATCAATACTCGATGGCAGTTTATACTAATATTATAAAGTTATTCTTTCCTACACGTGTGCTCTAACGAGTTGTTCGGTTAGTCATGCGTGTAGAACCTGTAAAACCTGGCTCTAGAAGCAAATGCAAATCATACCTTTAGGGCTAGGTATCTGCTTTCTCGACGTTTCCTTTTCCTGTCTCCATCAACACGCGGTTGTACTCTAATTGCAGCGTAATAATTGTGCAACGCGAGAGAATTCTCTCTGTATTGTATAACTTATAATCTGTAGTCTTTATGGACGTATCGTACTAAATATCTTGCCATCTTGTGCTTTTGTTGTGTCATGAAAACTTGCACTTTAGTGTGAGAGGTCTCTTGCTCTTTTTCTTCATTTCGTTTTTTGGTGAAAACCAGTACACTCTAGGTACCGCAAATTTCATCGAGTTTTAAGATTTATTCACTTCCTAAAGTAACTCACGAATCTGTTCTTGTATTGAATTTGTATCGAAAAAACGCTTCAGTAAAAACTCGAGTGTTTATTATCAAATTTAGAAAACGTAATAGGAAAATATCAGTAACAATATTTCGCTTATCATTTTTTCGTAAATGTATAATTGGAAACATATATTGTAGGTTTAGAAGAAATCATTTTTTCCCACGATGCAATTAATTAAAAATGTGTGAAAGTTGTGCAAATCGCTTTATCCAATTATATTTCAATTCATATTTTTGTAATCTATCTTGCTGTATTGCTATATTATCTGCTTTTCAATATATATATATATGTGTGTGTGTGTGTATATATTTATATATATATCTGTTTTTTCTATTCTCTATTCCTCATATTATCGGAAGTAACAAGAAACAAGAGGATAATAATCCCGATTTAATTTTCAGTTAGTGTGATCTTCGTCTGAACAGTTAGCCTATAACAGAAACAGCTCGTATGTGAATACGAAAGTTGCATGTGTTTGTGTTTTTTTCGTTACCGTTACCTGGCATAGTTACAAATCTTCTAAGATATATTACATTCCAAGTCGTTACAATATCTGACTTTTATTAAATGAATTGACAAACAAAAATCCATAACTTCCAGGAATACGGATCATCTTGCACGCGTGAGCTCCACGTGCAGATCATAACGAATTATGTAACGTGGAGATCTGTATACGTAGACTACGTTACCTGTTCAAAAACAAAATTGTGACGTATTTCCATCAGTATCATAAATGCATGTACAAAAGATCGGAAACAATATGTTTATTTTTTAATTTCAGAGATACATAAGAAATAAAATAATTAAAATAAATATATAGAGATACATAAGAAATAAAATAATTAAAATAAATATATAGAGATACATAAGAAATAAAATAATTAAAATAATCTTAATTTCAGAGAGCCATAAATAGGAAAGAAAAAGAAGATAATATATCATACTTTTTGGAATCTACTTTTATAAAGATCATAATTAATATTGAAATAACAGATCAGTCAAAATACTTATGACAAAAGTTAAGAAACACATCGTGCTTGATTCGTATAATCATTTTTAATAAAAACAGTGGCGTATAAAGAATATAGGTCATGTAATATACATAAGTTGAGTTTAGTAAATTATTTAGTTTTAGCATAAATAGCTCAATTTTATTCGCTCAAGCGTCTTATAACGTTTTATTATTATTTCAAAGTATTTCAAAATAATGCAAAGAAAATATGGAAATATTTGTGATCGATCGAATGAACGAAATAAAGAAAGAAACGAAAAAGAAAAAAAAAAAAATTCGCATCGAGATAAAACGCGTTGAACCGAAGAGGGAACAAAAGTGCAAGAGGTTAACGTTGATTGTGACCAGTTTTTCTCGGATCGACAGCCTCTGATAGAAAACTTGCCTATCCACTTTGCCGACGTTTCTTATAGCCGACTTCTAAGTGAAATCACGTGTAGTTTGTTTCGGTTAAATTAAAAGTTACGCACAACTTCGAAATTATCGGGCAACATTTTGGCATTTGTCAATGTTGTCAATTTTTTTATATATCGTTACTTCTTAAAAACATTTTCACCCATTCGTTTTGTGGAAATCGATTGCGGGAAAACGAAGTAGATAAAAAACACACACAAACGGGAAGCAAGCAACGGGTTTTGGAAAAATAAAGTGGTTACGATGTGGTTGCTGCTATAGAATCGACCGGTTCTTGTTACTGATTTCCTCTGCGCGACATATACTAATTGTAAATGGCGTTCAGAAACGTTTTCTTTGATGTTCTTCTACGTATGACATGACAGATTTTCAATTCATATATTTTCATTATCCTAATAGTTAAAAGTAAAATGTAATAAAATCATTAATTTATATTGTTTTGTCCTTTTTTCTTTTGAGCACAGTGTTCAATTTTTTGTAAATATGTGTATAAGGGAAAAAACAAGATGGGGATATTGGATAAAACGAAACAATTACTTATTTCGCATTTGTAAAGCTTCCATATTACTAAAACAAAAGAAATTATACTATCACTATTAATAGTTGCAGTTAATCTATTATATGCGTTTATCGACCATATTTCTATCATGATCTTATTCTCTTACGTACTCTAAATATTAATAATCACGTTATCTATAAGTTAATCAGTTAGAATATTTATTTATTTGCTTATGAGCATTATACATAAACAAATAAAAATATTGTTATTCGATAAATTAATTTCGATATAACCTTTAAACTTGAATAAATACCATCCCATTTTGTTCCCTATACGGAGTAAAATGGAATACTTTTTTATTTTAAAAATTACTTTTTTGTAAGTTCACCATTATGTTTTGTAGGTTTATTTTAATATATTTCGATAAATAGATGCTCGCATTATAAATAATATTTTTTTTTTTTTAGATATAAAATCAATAAACAATTTTTTCTTGTCCTCCTTCTCCTATACACATATATACATTGTGTTTCACACAAAGCATTGCAAATATAAACTTAAATTTAAATTTAAATCCAATTTATTTAAATAAAATACTATATTAATTTTTGGTTATTTTTATTTCAAATACTATTTTCTGCATGGTTAGAATGTTATAACAATGAATATTTTTCTTAAGAATAACTTTTCCAATCATTTTTAAGTATTCATTTATTTTTTCTTTTTTTTTCTTTTTGTTTTCGATATATCCACACATTAGATACACAAGAAAATATAATGAGAGAAAAATAAATCAGTAAGCTCAAGAATATTAGCAATGCAGAAAAGCCTAGAAAGGAGAAAAAATAAATAAATATTTAAAAATGAATGGAAAATATCTTCTCAAACTTATCTTTAAGAAAAGTGTTCATGGCAATAACTTCTTAACAAAAAAATATTTCAAATTAAAATTGTTAGATTTAATAATAACTATAGATATGAATAAAACTTAATATTCCATCTAGAAAAATTTGGAGTGGCACTCCTTTTATCCCCGCAAAACTCACCTCTGCAACATTTTCATTATTAAACAATTTGTGACGTTGTATACGTTACAATGAATGAAATGAATAAAATGATTTCGAATAATGATAAAATTGATAAATTTTATAGCTTCCACGTAAACATTTCGAAAGAAATTATACAAAAAACAGTCTGTTTAATGGGAGAAAGCGAGAGCTACTAGTTCTACCAGTGTGTTTTTATATTTCGTCTAATACATTATAACCTAAGATCGTTGTCACGTACATGTATAAATTCTAGTAAATGTAAATTTGGTTAGATCAGTAAAACTAGTCGATCGAATTATCAAATGTCACGTTTAACATTATATCTATTTACCTGTCTCGTAATTGGATAATGTGGAAGTCATAGACACTCGTTTATAATTGCACTTCCGTGAAATGATCGTTTGAATTGAAAATTGAATATGCAAACCATAATGTAAATTGACTATAAGATTGTCACAGTGTAAAAATAGAAAAATTTGCATAAGCTTGCATATCGTTATTTAAATTACGTTACTGACATAAATCATGCGAAAAATGAACAAATTAAAATTGAGACAGATTTTTCGAAAAATCGAGCGACCTCTTTTTATCGAGAAGAGGAACATGATGTAATAATTCGTGACATCACAATGACATTTGTGATATCCCGATCAAATTAAGATATGATAAATAGAGGCTATTAAATTAAATAATTTCATAGAAATATCGAACAATGAATGTATTATTATATGTATATCTGAATATACATATAC